CCCTTCTGTCGGACAGGAACCACGGTGTTCTGCTGTGCGGTTTAACACTTGCGATTGACATGTGTGAAGCCGAGGAGGCGGAAGAAGGACAGGAGGGTGTGATCGAGATGTTCCGGCCGTTGGCTGGTGGTCTTGTGCGCTCCCTTAAGGGGTTGACCACCTCGGGATACGCCCCAGAACATGACGTCTCCGGTATCACCGATCCCTTCCTCCAAGTGAAGATCCTGCGCCTTCTCAGAGTACTAGGAAGAGGGGATGCGGCGACCAGCGAAATGATCAACGACATTCTGGCCCAGGTGGCCACCAACACTGATTCGACGAAGAACGTCGGTAACGCTATTCTCTACGAGGCTGTCCTGACAATCCTCGATATCGAAGCGGATTCTGGACTGAGGGTGCTGGGTGTTAACATTCTTGGAAAGTTCCTGACCAACAAGGACAACAATATTCGTTACGTTGCTCTTAACACGCTGAACAAAGTTGTTGCAATTGAGCCCAACGCCGTTCAGCGGCACCGCAACACCATCCTGGAGTGTCTCCGCGACCCGGACATCAGTATCAGAAGGCGTGCCCTTGATCTCAGTTTCATGCTGATCAATGAGAGTAACGTGCGCGTTCTCGTTCGCGAGCTGCTCGCCTTCCTGGAAGTTGCCGACAACGAGTTCAAGCCAGCCATGACTACTCAAATTGGTATCGCTGCTGACCGATATGCCCCCAACAAACGCTGGCATGTTGATACGATTCTCCGTGTACTCAAGCTTGCCGGTGCCTATGTTAAGGAGCAGATCCTCTCGTCTTTTGTTCGCCTCATCGCCACCACACCAGAGCTGCAGACCTACTCTGTGCAGAAGCTTTATCTCTCGCTGAAAGAAGACATCTCGCAAGAAGGCCTTACCCTTGCGGCTACCTGGGTCATTGGCGAGTACGGTGACAACCTTCTCCGTGGCGGTCAATATGAGGAAGAGGAGCTGGTCAAAGAGGTCAGGGAGAGCGACATTGTTGACCTATTAACCAACATACTCAATAGCACATACGCCACGCAAACAGTGGTGGAGTACATCACTACGGCCTCTATGAAGCTCACCGTGCGCATGTCCGATGCAGCACAAGTTGAGCGGCTCCGTCGCTTCCTCAGCAGTCGGACTGCCGATCTGAGTGTTGAGATTCAACAGCGGGCTGTCGAGTATGTCAACCTGTTCGGCTACGACCAGATTCGTCGTGGAGTTCTCGAACGCATGCCCCCGCCTGAGATCCGTGAAGAACAAAGAGTGTTGGGTGCACCGACCAAGAAGCGCCAGAGCAAGATTTTGAAAGATAAATCCAAGAAGCCTGCTAAACAGGCCGAGCAGGACATGCTTCTGGACCTCATGGGCGGCGACGCCCCACCGACCAGCCCAACTACCAACGGTTCCCAGAATACGGCTGATCTCCTTGCCGATATCCTCGGCGGCGACTCCAGCTTATCCTCACCTTCTCCCCAACCCGCACAGAAGCCTGCAGGATCTGCCAATACCAGCGCTATCATGGACCTGTTCAACACGAACGGAAGCACGCCGTCTCCCAAACCTGCCGAGCCTGCATCTTCTCTGGATCTCCTAGCAGGCCTGGGATCTTCTGCCTCGCCCACACCCGCTCCTGCCCCTTCGGCGGCTCCTGCTCACACGGCCTTCAACAAGAACGACCTCTCCCTTGCCCTCCAGGTCCAACGTGGCAGCGGTGGGAGTGCGCAGATTCAGGCTCGTTTCCGCAACACTTCAAGCTTTGGCCACTTCTCCAATGTTGGATTGCAAGCAGCCGTGCCCAAGAGTCAGAAGCTACAGCTCAGCGCCATCAACAAGGCTGATCTCGATGCTGGTGACGAAGGTATCCAGATGCTCAAAGTTGCAGCACTCACTGGGGTAAGCTAAAACCAACCATGACCTTTTTGATTGCCTTTAACTAATGTTCTTCCAGGCCCTCCCACCTAAGCTCCGCCTTCGTCTCCGTATCACGTATGCCAAGGACGGTTCCGATCCTGTAACAGACCAGGTGGACTGGACCGAGCCGTGAACGGTCACCAGGGCCGTTCTTTCATAAACCCTTATATTCACCTTACAAGAACCTTTTAGACCGCCCATCTAATCTTACTTTATCAACCCAATTATTGTATCAGGAGGGAGGATGGAAGCAAGCAAGCCAACCCTTGGGAGAAGACTACCTACTTGACCATTCATAGTTCCTCACATTACATACATGCATGTTCATACATACCCGGTCCGTTTCTAGCTCTCCATTTTCATCATCTCTTCCCTTCGCTGTCATGTGTTCCCTTTGCCTTCTATGTAAATGCTTGGTATGTTGCTGAGGCGGCCTAGGAGTGGCCGGTTTCCCCATATGTGGGGTCTAAAATGAAAATGTTCCTCTTCACTTTACCACGGACTTCTACTGTAGTGATTAGTATACTATATCTCGGAGTTAGGAGATTTGCGACTGCGGCGTTAACAACAAGTGTTCGGTGATGGCACGGTCGTTTGTTTGCGCTTCAGTGATGCTTTGCAATCCCCAAACCACCATGATTGTGACTATGACTACCCAAAACCGGGTGAGACAAAGGATTAGAAGTTCCACACGTCATCGATAACAGAAGGAGGCAAATCGACAGGGACCGGCGTTCTACCAGAGACAGCTGCGGCCTCCGATGCACTCGTGCCTAATGAGCAGTGCCGGGTCAAGGAAGATTTCATCAGTCTGAACTGCGAGAAGTGAGACATTAAGCTTTTGTTTGATGATGCTGGTAAGGAAGTTAAAGGTTGATTTAAAGGATAGCTATTAGTAGTGATCTTCATTCTTGCATGGTCTCGAGGCCTTCCTTTATCATCTTCTTCAACGATGTCTCCTCTATTTGACTCAGGTTTGGCTTCCCGGTGGGTTTTTCTAGGGCGCGTATATTGACCAATTCGCTCGAGGCGCTTATGCGTCGAAGGGGAGGGATGTGGCTCGGATGAGTTGGCTTCAGTGGGACAAGGCGTCTAAGCTGCAGCCGACCGGATTTAAGGCTGCTTGCTTCGCCCAAGTTTGATCTACTCTACTGGTCACATTGTCCAGGCACAAGGACGCCGATGGCCTCTCTTACTGGCTGCTTCATGATAGCCTCAGGCCGCTTTGTATGTAGATAAGTGATTGTGATGTGATTCTTGGAGGTCATGGCTCCTGAGTCCTGGGCTAAGATCCTACCCTCCTTGTAACCTTTATAAATCAACAAGTAGTGATGGTGGTGACTGTTGGGTATGAATCTGCGAACTTAATGATAAGGTAAATGAAGCACTTGGTGGATGGATGCCTTTGTCCCTTATCCCCACCATCTTCGAGCGTTGGGCTGCAGAGGTTCCACTTAGTAGTCTCGCCTGATGGCAACCATAAAGTAGGCTGTTTCACACTTGAAGAGAGGAATCCTCAAGATGGTGGTGTGGACAGTGGCTACTACTACTTGTTTATCAGTAGCTTCCATGCGGTCATCCTTGACTGCTTTGTTTGACGATTTGGGTATAAGATTGAAGGATCCATTTATACATTGGTGCCTGATATGACACCTGCTATCCGGTCCACACTTTAGCCAGGATTCTACATCCATGCATGAACTCGGTACATTTGACCATGCAGTCTCAGCCAGGGTAGCAACGCCTCTTATTTCAGTCTGCTCAAGATGTGGACGCTAGATCGGCCAGAAATTTGCCCATAGTGCAAGCTCATGGGATGTCAGACCAGAGAGATGCAGGATACAGATCAACGGGGGCCATAGCCTCGATTATGGGGAAAGCTTGCGCTCGAGACGGATGAGCTCGGAGATAGCCAAATCTGAAACTTACTATACTGCAGATGCTCCGTAATATATTCGCGACAGAGTGACCCGAGAAGATGTATCCCAATTGTCGATCGCATGGTTCATCTCTGGCAAACTTGATGATGACGATGTCAGGCCGACATCACGTGTAATACTGTATTGTGACACCCCTCATCTCCCCTCACCTGCAATTGAGGGTCTGCACCTTTCCGAAAACAGACCAATACACAAGGATACCGCGTAAGGGGAGCGTAATAGAGTCCTGAGGCCATCAGCAGCGTCGCGCGTTTCCTCGTCCTTTCGGTCTCTCACTCTCTCGCGCTCTCTCTCTCTCTCTCTCTCTCTTCCCTCTTCTCTCTCTTTCTCATCTATCTCTTGAGAGTGAGCAAGCATTCAACGCTCATCAATCGCGATTCCATTAAATCTAGCATCATCATCAATTTCATCCATCGAGTCCCCTCCGTTGGAAAACCACCGTTTATATCTAGATCTCCGTCCGATCTCATTGGTGTCGGGGGACTTTCTCGCAACAACCAGTGATCGTTGCTCGTCTTGCCAGGGACTTCTGGTTCGCCAATTGATTGCTGCGCGCATCGCGGCCGTCCCCAGTAATACCTGCCCTACGACCATTTGCCTGCTCTCTACTGGACGGTAAGCCATTAACTCTACACGCCCCATCCATCCCCCAGCGTCGTGGGCCACCGGAATTTGATCCAATCGCCTGGTCGGTTGCTCCCTCTTTAATTGTTGGTTTTGCTGCTTTTCCCAGCTGCGCAACGTGCCACACTGCCAGTCTGACCCACGGTTACTTCCGTGTTGCATTACCCGCGTCACATCCCGCCCCGACTTGTTCTCAGATCTTCCGGCTGCTGGAAACTGTCAAGTGCGCATGGCTTGCTGACGTGACCACTCCTGCAGTCGCGCGCGCGCTGCCCTCTAAACCTCCCTCCACACTGAGCCACAGGGGCTTTGCCAAAAAAAAAAAAAGAGTTTCCAGGTTTCTGGTGCTGTATCCATCTTTACTCTGGCTAATCAAATCAGATCTTTCCATTTAGAAGAAGAAAGAAATTAAATCAAAAAAGAAAGAAAAAAGAAATACGAAAAAGAAAACGCGCTTGGAATCCCAAAAAGACAGACAGGCAAGACAGATTTAAAGTACCTTAGAAAACAATAACAAACAGAAACGCCTGCTGCGACCAAACACACAACCCACCCCCCTCCCTCCACCCTCCTCGTCGAATAATAGATCCCGCCGGTCCTTGCTCACGACGCTAAAGCAGGACTATCGCAGAAGCATTGCCAATCCCCCACACGCGCAACTACGCCCGTCTTTCCCCGTTCAGGCTGTCGTGAAGCGAATCGCTGCCCAGCCAGACGCACCCTCGTTGTCCTTGGCGCGGCTGTATCATAGCGCGCGAGTTCGAGAATCCACCGCGTGCTGCACGCAGCTCTGACGTGGTTTGCCAACAGAGCAGTTAGAGACAAGCCCCCGTTCTAAATCCAGTATCTCTGCACGTTCTCAGAACAGCTAAAAATCATGTCGTCGACCTCTCCCTCGAAGGAACCGGAGGTGGAACCCGAAGTTCAATCGGGTGAAGACCAGGAACAAATGGATAAGGACCAACAAGACACTCAGGCGCAGGGTCAGGGAGAGTTCGAGGTAAAGGAGCAGGATAGATGGCTGCCAATTGCAAATGGTTAGTTGCGTTCCCTTGCAGCTTTCTCTTTTTCCTGATTTGCGCGTACCTTTCGTTTATCTGCTGGTCAACCGCCTCTTGCCCTACTATGATGGTTCACCCACCCCCCTCAACCGCACACCCCCGTTGCCTTTTATTTGGTCCTAACCGCCAGTCCTTTTGTATGTTTTGTGACTTGAGTTTTCATGGCTTGGATAACGCCTTTCCGTGCTCTTCCCTCATTTGTCTCTTGGTTGTTCGCGCATTCCCCATCATATAAGCCCGCCTACCCTCCTAATGTCTGGAAGTAAAAGACGCCTGATCACTTTCATTCATGCCTGCGACCCCCGCATATATCACAGTTGATACCAGGTCAGGATACTAATGTTGCAAATTAAGTGGCCCGTATCATGAAGCTGGCTTTGCCTGAAAATGCCAAAATCGCAAAGGAGGCCAAGGAGTGTATGCAAGAATGTGTGAGCGAGTTTATCTCATTCATCACTAGCGAAGGTTGGTGCGACCACACCTGCTCTACAAGCTCATTCACTGACGGAGTCTTACCCATTTGTCCGTAGCCTCCGAGAAATGCCAGCAGGAAAAGCGCAAGACCGTCAACGGGGAGGACATTCTATTCGCCATGACCTCCCTCGGGTTTGAAAACTATGCAGAGGCCCTTAAGATTTACCTGTCCAAGTATCGCGAGGTGAGACCTGTGCAACCGTCCCCATTCATGTTGCCTTCCCTCGTAACAGGCGACATTGAGTTTCATGACGTATACGGACGCTAATTATTCCTCTAGACCCAATCCGCAAGAGGCGAGCACCAGAACCGGCCAACAAGCAGTGGATATGGTGCTGGCGCGCCCGTAGGGGCCCCCGGGCCTGCCGGTCCTGGTGGCCGTCCAATGGGACCTGGTGCAGGGTTTCCTGATGCTGCTGATAGCGCCAACAATATCATGAACCAAAGCTTGGACCCGTCTGAGCAGGACACTTCCGCCTATGGCTACCCCCCGATGGTCGGCCAGCCGCACAACGGCACCACCGGTGAATCTTATTAGTATGCTACTGTGCGGGAGAACCATCCGCTGGACTTGACGACTATCCCGCAACAAGGGTCTTCTTCGGAATCGGACAAGCAGAGACTCGAACATCAGCCTCCTTCACCCCTGCAGAGGCTGGATGCCCCTCGTCTCCAGCATGAAAGGCGGCTGGGATCACAGGCCCAAGCGACGAACGTTTCCGGATGTTACTCCCTGTACAGCGATCCTAATTACGCGGTACGATACAATGGGTTACTTACGGGATATTAACGGAACGAACACGAATCAAGCAATACGACAGAAACAACGGAGCCGAGAGATAGTTTTTCCCCCATGATTTGGTTTTATTTTGCTTCTGATTCTTCATCTTCTCTTCTACAACCGGCTGGAGCACTAGCCGACCCTGCCAGGCCCACTTGGCGTTCTCAGTCACCTCCATAAAACCAAAGCAACCACCTTCTCAACATCAAGCCAACCAAAAGAGAGAGAAATTGCCCATATATTTTCATGCTTACGAGTACAATATTCATCTGCGCGTTATGGTTGACCAGAGAAAAAGGGGGTACCCACACCCGATTGCTAGGGGGCCAGTTACATGTAATTATTGTCTGAGTTGAGTATCTATTATTTGCGTGTGTATGTGTGTCTTTGTCATTATTTATTGCAGAGTATGGGATACTGTTCAGAAGGAGGAAGAAGAAGAAGACAACAGGAACCTCACAAATAGAACACGGATTGGACTTCACTGTCCCTGACAGCCAATAAAAATCACGTGGTTGCATTTCAAACCGTACAGTAGAAGCCAAGTCTTATGGTTACCGCTAGATAAATTCTGTACGACGGGAAATAGTTCATGAACGGCTTGCGCGGTGCAACCTGAATCCTCCTAATTACGTACGTGTTCAAGAGAAGAACGGGCTAGCTTTCCATCATATAAACAACGGGACGATCGATAGAAAGAAACAAAAACGAGATGTCATCATCATGGTCATCATCATAGGAATAGAATGCAAATCTAACCAAACCAAGAAAAAAGATATCACGACTCGCTAAATCAACAGGAAAACAACCACAAATCCAGACACCTGGGGTACGAGATATTTATCCATGCATCCACCCTCCATCTAACAGAAGATCCGACATCGGAGTCTCCTGCCAGTAGATCTGACGCCACTCATCCTCTAACTCGGGTAGTCCTTCCATGGCCATTGGTAGCACGGGTTGGTCCAGATCCGTGAAGGAGAAGAGTTGGCGCCAGTCGAGCGATTCGCGGGGTGCGTCGGCGTCGATGGCGTCGACGACGGGGGTCATGGTGGCGGAGGGTGGGGGTGGGGGGATCCAGGCGTCTAGATGATGATGGTGAGGTTGTTGTTGGGGCTGAGGTTGAGGGTGGTTGTGGTGTGGGCTTGTTGGGAGGTGGTTCGTGGATGAGTCTGGCGTGGGGACTTCGAAGGGAAGGGGGCGGTCTGTGGGGTTTGGGTTGGGGGTTCGTGTTGTTTGCATTGTTGTCGGTGCGGAGGTGGATGTGGAAGTACTGGATTGTAGGGTGGTTTTGAGTTGGTCTTGAGGGTTGCTGAAGCGGCGGGGTGGTCGTTCGCTGGTGGCCATTCGGAGGTCTTCTTGGAGGCGTCTGGAGTCTTCGAAGAGGCGAAGGATGGTGTTGGCGTGGAACCAGTAGCTTGCTAGTTCGCGAAGGGAGTAGGAGGCTGAGTCGAAGCGGCGGAGAGCGTTAATTGCTAGGACGGGGTTGGAGAAGCGGAGTTCGACGCGGACTTGGATCATGGCTGTGAAGAGGGTGTGGACGCCGGAGTACCACAGGAACTTGAGGCGGTCGTTTAATCGGAGTTCTTCGAAGATGGAGGTGATGACCCCTGCGGCTGCACTGCAAATTTCGGCATCGTGTGGCCCGTAGTCGTCTGAGTAGGCGGATGCTCGGGGGTGTGGGCGGTGGAGGAGGATCAGGAAGTTGTTGTAGGTGAGATGGAGCATGGCGGACCAGGGGTCCATGTCGGATGCTCGGAGACGTAGTTTATCGGGCAGCTTCAGAGACCAATTGGCAAGGGCTTCGTCGGCTTCGAGGAGGACGGCTTTGCGGCGCTCTGGACTCACTCGTAGTCCGAAGCGGCTTCGAACGATGTACGAGATCATCACTGAGAGTTCGGAGAAATGGATCACATAGTCGGATTGAACACGAGGTCCGCAGCCTTCAAAGTCGGAGATTGTCAATGGAGACACATCAGAGTCTTCGAGATTGCTGTGTATAAAGTCAGCAACCAATTGGAAAGGAGAGGAGGGGGTATCTGCTTACATTGCCTGCGGTCGACCATAGGAAAGTGATACCATAACGTCGAATTGCACTATGATGTACCATAGCCTCCTCCACATTCGGCGATCACGGGAGACAAACCGGCTGGAAATAGGATTTCGATGCATTCCAAGGCCAGTGGCAATTCTGGCAGCTACGCCCACCCAGTAGTGCGCATTCGCTGCGACATCATCATCGGCACCATCTGAGTGCCAAGTCAAGAGGAGGGCAGCTTGCACCAGGATATCGCGATTACGCTCAATACGAGAATCAAACAGCCACTTGGCACGACGGAAGAAAATGTCCTTCAGGGCATCGCGTTCTGCTTTGGGACGCGTGACGTGGGCTCCCACCAGCAGGATGGCTTGTAGCAGCAGAATTGGAGGAGGATCAGCGGGGTCTCGATTGCGATACTGCGCCATGAACAGGTCCTCGTCGATGATAGGATACCCCGGGTTGACGTGGTCGAAGTAAGCTTGCACTAGCTCATCTGCTAGGGCCGGTTCGGGCAAAGTGAGAGCATCCATGAGGAGCTGATCATGTCCGGTCCTTAACTGTCGTCGCGGAATCTCATTGCCTGCAAAGTGATATACATCGTCATCCTTGTCACGTTGCTGACGGATCAAGAAAGACATGTTCGACAGCTCATGGCCCACATATATAGCTCGTACACCCCGACGAATTTCCCGACTGCCCGATTCTTCCTCATCGATCAGCTTCACTAGTCGTTTCTCTAAGTCTGCATGCGAGTCTGATTCGGCCGAGACATCCGGGCCCGGAGGACGGTTATATGTCGGAGATTCTGAAGCTGACCCGGTGCCATTATGGGGAGGGTGGTGATTAACATTATGATTAAGCGTTTGATGAAGGTTATGTAGGCTTGAGGTGGGGGGTGCGACAGGCGTTGTCACTTCCGGTTGGACGCTGCGGAAGGTGGTGGTGAAAGCGTCAGGCGGGGTTGTAGCCGTGAGGGGCAAAAAGTGTCTGTGTGTAGGCTCAGAAGAAGCAGGAGGTGGTCGACAGCGGATTGGAACAGGGTCGAGGATTGATCGCACAGCCAGACGCTTCTTCTTTTCATGAATCCGACAATCCGTCTTTCCCGCGGAACGGCAATTGGAGCATGGGAGGCCAACGATGCGGGCATCGCATCGGACTTTGCGCCGATGGCAGTGGACGCAGGCCGCGGAGCCTAGATGGGAACTTTCATTAGAACCATGAGAGGAATAGCAGATATATGCAAGAGTCCTTGATGACATTGCAGAGCGTACCTGACTTGCGCTTAGTCACCCCATTCCCGGCGGGTGGATGGCTGCTGTGCGCTGCGGAGGTCATTGCCGAAACATCGACACTGTTCCAAGGGTCCGGAGACTCGCTAATTCGTCATCCCTTATCCGAGAGATCTGAGGGATAGAGCATAAGGTCAGATCAGGACATGATTTACCCACGAACAGAAGGATTGGAGAGGAGAATGAAGCAGGCGGAAAGAAGAAGAGAGAGAAGGAGGAGGAGAAATGGCAGACATGAAGAGGAGAAAAGGCGGGAAACTCGAATTGCTTTGCTCGGCATGGTTGTGATTGGTCGATAACGGGCAATCGGGTGGGGCCCATTCAGGGCGGGTCTGGGGGAGTCACGTGGCGGGGTGTTGATCGATTCCCTTGAATTTAGTCAGACCTTCGATGCTTTTTCTCCTCGTCTTCTGGAAGCCTGTCATTGCCCGCCGTTTGAATGCTACCATCCTGCCCATGGTTAGTTTAGAGCATACCTAGTTTACTACCCACGCCCAGGACCCCTCCCATTATCCTGCCCTGCATCTGTGTGACAGCCGGTGTCTTCCTCCGTGCGCTTATCCACCATGGGATCCACTCCTGGCGTCAGCTCCGTTATCAGTCCGCCTATCGTCCATTCCTTCTCTCTCACTGGACCGTTGGTAAAATTCCTTATCAACATACTACATTCTCGAGATAAAGTGTTTGACAAAAATGTACGGCTAACCAGATCCATGGTACTCATACCAAATTTTCCTGCATCGCAGACAGGTCCTGAATTCACGCCAATTCGCACTCTATCAGGCTCTCCACTCCCTTTTCCACCGTCCAGATCTTGACTACTTTCAACCCCGCCGATTCTATCAACGTAGCCCAGTGCTTCTCCGTCCGTTCCCCGGAGGCAATTGACATCATGATCATGTCAAGGCTTGTCGTCTCGAAATGCGCGTCGAGACTGGGGACAACATACTCGTTGATCAACAGCTTACTGTACCCCGGTTTCATGGCTGGGATAAGGTTGGACAGGATCTGACCGCACACATCATCAGGCCAGTCATGTAGAACCGAATGCATATAGTACACCCGTGCTCCTGAACCTTGTCAGCCCTATGCATCAATCACTAGAAGTAACCGTTTCGAGCCTTACCTTTCACCGGCTGCTCCGTAAAGAAATTATGCGCCATTGGGTCAATAGACACATGCACGTCCCTCACAGTTTCTATAACCTGAGGGAGATCCTGCACCACAAGACGCCCAGGCACTTCCGGCCACTTGCGACGGAATTCAGACACATCATGCCCGGTGCTACCACCCACATCAACCAAGAAGACGTCCTTCTCGCTCAGCTCAGTACCCTCAATTAACCGCTCCTGGACTGGGTAGAAGCCCTTGTCCATCCAGCTTGGTCGTCCCTGATGGTACGCCGACATGTGGTTGCCGAATTGTTTGGCAAGAGTAGGGTTCATTTGTACCAATTCGAAGAAGTGTTCGTCGACACGCTGTCCCAGCTGATATGGGGACTTGGTGGGATCGGTCGGATTGCGGAATCCATTTCGTTTAAGGAAGGCAGGGATAGCGTAGATACCTGGGTATAGCCAACCTGAGCTGGTGCTCGTAAAGTTCAATGTTAGTAATCTTTTCATTGGCACCCT